GTTCTTGTGAGCTTCTTTCTCTTTCTCTCACGCGCTCTCTCTCTTGATTCCAATTTCAATTTCTTTTATCTTTAACATTTTTCGGTCGGGGGGGGGGGGGGGGGGGGGGGTTGGATATATAACGTTACTTGCCATCATCCACACCGTGATCATATGCACGCATCACTGTAGGATTATACAAGTGGTATATATATACATGATCGGGACCGCCATCAGGATTCACAGTGCATTTCTTCCTATCTTAAAATGCTATTATAAATCTGGTCGGAAAGGAGAATGATCTGAATGAAACGATTTCATTCATAGTATAACGAATGCTGCACGTCAATAGATTACGACAGTGAATATGTATAGATTTACTTTTCGAATCTCCTATAGAGAGATCTGGGTGGCTTGAGAAAAGAAATATAACTGCTAAACGCTATAAAGACAGCATAAGAAAAAAGGAAAGAGGGAGTTTATCTTACCTTCGTCATTTCCACGTATCGCACAGCTTTCTGAAAGCCCATTATCATCAAAATAATGGGGCTCACAATGCTGACGCGCAGTCCTCGCTTCCTTGATGCATTGCCTATTCATTCCTCTTCCCAAGGGCTGAATGCCTCGTCGAGAGCTTGAGAAGGATATATATATATCAACGGGAAGAGAAATCACGCAGAAAGGCCTTCTTGTTAATGCGTGAGCTCCCCTTGAAAAACTTATGATCTTAAGGACCACTGCAATAATGCATAGCTCCTGATACTTACTACGATTGATGCCCGACACTGTGCCAAAGCTATATGATTCGTAGCCTGGCATCGCTCTCTCGTGCTAACCTGACTGACTATCAACATCGGTTGACACCGATCTCCCTCACTGGATGAGAGATTTATTGCACGTTCGTGAGAATGATCAAGTATTTGAGAGCGACACTGCAAAACTCCTAGAAGCCGTCCTGTTCGGATCCTTACTTACCTAGCTATGCCAGGGACAATTGGCTGTATCCGTTTGATTCTACGGGGGCTTATACACTCTGTAGCCCGTCGTCGTTTTTCGATCGCTTGTAGACCGTCTTGATTTTGTCCGTTGATGTTTTTGAGGCATATACCAAAGAGACTTCAAGGTATATAGTGCTTCTGTGTCCGTCCCCGAGTCAGACTAGATCCCAAGAGGGTTCTTCTCTTCATGTTTCCAAAGTCCATGCACCCCTCATTCCACTTATTATTCCAGATACGTATCTTGCTCGATCTAGCTTTTCCGGATAATCCCATGGGTAGCGTTCCATCCATTTCATTCCCTCGATACTAGCCGTAGATGAGTGATATTTCACAGCAGACGCAAGACTGCGATGTAGAAGGACGCACGATCTACTAGAAAATACGTTGTGAAGGAAGAAGACGAAACGCTGGTGAGTTTACTCCAGAAGGATTGGAGATGGGGCTGTGTGGTGTTGTTGCCATCTATTTCAGCGTTAACCCGGTGCATCAGGTTATCATTGTTGTTTCTTTTCAACCTGATATTGCGTTTCATGCATGAACTGCGAAGACAGTGAGTGTCAAATATTCAGAAAACCCAAAAGTTACTTTAAACCACACTAGTAGTATTCAAAACCGTCCGAATCACCATAAAAAATAAAAATAAAAATAAAAATAAAAACAAGCCCCCCCGGAAAAACCAAGGAAGAAAAAAAGAATTCGAAGCAAGCCAGTGGGAATTGAGCCCACGGCGGGGGTCGAACCCGCAGCCTTCAGATAGAACTGAAGAGATTCTTAAGTAAGAGTCTGACGCTCTACCGATTGAGCTACGCGGGCTTTTTCGATTGTTTGCTTGTTGTTTGTTGTTGTGCAATCTTGCCTTTCTGGGTATTTGAGGGATGGCGTTGGTGTGGGGGCGCGCTTGTGTTTTGTGCTGCAAAATTCTAGTCCATGTACTCCGTAATTGTTATCTAGGGTAGTAGTTTATTTTTTTTTTTTAGTGGAGGGACGATTACGGTACTGTGGCGATTTGCTATCGGAAGATAAGGAAAAAGTCTGAGAGACGGAGAGTGGTCTAGAACGGGGCGGGCTTTTCGGATAATAGGGAAAAGGGTTCGGAGAGTTGGGTTTGGGGAAGGACTTCGGAGATCGTGCGATGTAGGTGTCATATTTTAGATTTTTCAAATTTT